TAGAGGGTTGAACCCATGGAACTCTTCCGAGGCGTTAAATCCTGAAAATAGAGGACATGCAGCGCTTTCCATTCTGGCCCGGTCATCGTTCTCCCTATTTTATGGCGAGCTGGGGGTAAAGAGAGCGAAAGCGGATATCATTTTTTTGCTTGAAGTTTTAGAGTTATTACGAAGTTAGCAGATGAACTTTGGCCACTTTGTGGGAACCCACAAATCTTTAGATCTCAAAAATGGCCTCGTTGAGGTCCAAGCCCTTCCAAAATGGAGGTTCCTTTCTGATGCTTAGGGAAGACCGTTGTGGCAACAAAAAGTTTAGACATGTTGTTTACCAATCCACTCTAAAGAGAAGGTCCCTGCCTGGATATCTCGGATCCGAGCCGTAGTGTTCCCATGTTTAGTCATTCCCTCCATAGAGGCAAAACGCAGTGGAATTATGCGATGGCTGAAGAGCGTGGGAACCCAACCCCAAGACTATGTTGGATGATTCGTATTTGCACAGATTAGATGGAAGAACGGAAACTGCAGCAGGGGTAAGGCACGGCATCCATTTTGGCGAGTAAAAGGTTAAACGCCCCCGTACTAGGAGAGAAATGAGGTAAACTCGGGCAACATGTAAGCTGATATTACAGTTTCAGGGGAATCACCTATGAATCTACCTGAGGGGTTCCTCTCATCTTGACTAGTACTGGTATGCAACAGGGGAGTGCCTTTCTGGCCACGTGCATTTGCTTCGGGCAAAAGCGAGCCAAGGATCTGATCCTTTGAAGGGAAGTCCAGCCCTTCAAGTCTGAATGAACTGTACTACTCGCAGATACGTCTTTCTTGCAAGAGCAAGAACCGTGGGCAACTCATGGACGGTTCGAGCACTTCCCCCCACCTTGAGCAAGCATCGTGCCCAGATGCGCACAGAACCCACGAGAATCCCCAGACTCTTTGTTCAATGAATACAATCTTCAATTTATCCCAGTTTCAGGGCCCGCCCCCAAGCACACGGTCTTATTGTCATGTCCCTTTCCTTTCTATCTCTTGGAAGTCTTTTATTTTGCAGTCTCTTGTCATTTTATTATAATTCTAATTCAAAATGAAAAGGAAAGGAATAATGGTGAGGGAGATGAAAGAAGAAAGCCATCTTCTCACCAATCTATATTGTATTATCTAAAGAAGAAGCTTTTCTGGGATTTGTTGTATGCTGTAAAATCCCATGAGCAAGAGATGAAGAAAGAAGGAAACAGACCGTTCCCACTCATCCCTTTGTCCCCAGCCACCTTCATTCATCTCTTCATTCCGTTGCCGGTCAATGACTTCCAGCACACAGTCTATTTCTCTCTTTTGGAGAAGGAATAGAAGGGACAGATGGTTAACGACCGCACACCTCCAGTTTGGGTCTATTTCAGTTTTCCCCGAGGTATGCACACCTGTTTCAGTATGTCCCCAAAATGCGTTTGGTTTTGGAAGTTTTGGGCAAACTGGCTGACACACCCGGTATGACAACCACAACGGGTATCACAAAAGGATGCTGGATGACATGCAACATGAAGATTTGAAGTGTTATCCAACCATCTGGTGGTTTGGATTGGATCGGAAATGCACCTAAAGCCAAATGGTGAAGGTACACAAAACCACCAGGTCTAGCCTCCAAGGGGTAAGGTGATGTGTGCCTGGAGCAACCCTCTCGCAGGAGCAGCAGGAATTGGACTGGGAGTTGCGGGCCTGGTCGGAGGTGTCCCTCGACGAGTTCCAGGCTGACATTGGATGGGTCTAGGGTTTGCTCAATCGGAACCCAATGGGTTTTGGGCCCCTTTGGGACAAGCTCTGGTACGGTACATCCTTGCACACTCAAATGATGGCGGGAAAACGGAAACGTTTATCCCATTTGCTGCGGTTTGAACGTTGACGAAGGTTAATGAGTTACTGAAGGTATGATTTGTTGAGTTGGCAAGCTTTGTTGCACTTTTTTGGGCAAGTGCGGTTGTGGTTTGTGAACCCTACTGGCAACAATGATGGAAGTGGACAAAGATCCTGTTCACTTCCAGGAAAAGTCATCAGTTGCCAGTCTTTGTCCATTTAGGCTCATGCGCACCCCTAAACGCTTCAAGACTGCGAAAGGAAAAGCAGCACTCGTCCCTTGGAAAGCTGGCAGATGGATGTATACATTACCAAAGGGAGGGACAAGCCAAATGGGCGCGCCTCTTTTATTGTGTTTTCATGGAAGCCACAACGACTAGGGGCGAGGTCTAAACTTCAACCACAAAAGCCGGACAAGGAGCTGTAAATGTCCCTTCTCACAGCTCACTGCCCCAGATTGCAAATGCACTCGGATCGCATCAAAAAGGACCCTCCATGGGAAGATGCTGGATTTGCATTGGATGGGTTTGGACCTGACAAAGGCCATGTTTCGGGCCCCAAGATTCGGGTGGCCAGAAACCATGGTGTTTAAACCAGGGTTTTTCGATTGATTCCCCGCTTGCGTCGAGAATCAGCCGTAGCTTCCTGCTTTGCAGGGTCTGTCCACGCGCTTCAAGGCGGGAAGAGTCAGTTTGGGAGCTTCGAAGGCGCTGATAAAAGAATGGAGGGGGTCCAGCGTTGGGCAAAGCCCATACCCGCATCACCTCATGGGAAACCAATATGGAAGTTGTGGTGGGCTTGCCACAGGCAGTTGTTTCCGAGTTTCATGTGAGGTGACAAAATTTCACATGTCCTTTGAAGGAAGCATGTCGTTTTGGTTGTGGCTCATGTAAGTAGCGCTTCAAGCGACCTCAGCCCTTTGGGGTCTACATTGTCACAGCGCCAGAAGCAGCAGCTGGACAAAAAGAAGAAGGAAAGCGACGAGCAGCGGAAGCAGCAGGCACGGGGTTGAGATGCAGCGGCTCCTGGGTTGATTATTCGGGCGACTCTTTGAATGCTTGAGGCAGTGTTTGTTGAAAACAAAACTCCCTTGAGTTTTCCTTAAGGAACCAGGGTCCGGTTGTTTTTGAACACATTTTGCCCAACCCTCATTGGGCGCACAATTGAGAGGGATGCCGATGAAAGACAGGTTGGATGAACCTGGTCCCAGAAGACACCTTCAGGTCATCATGCGTCTTAGGGTGGCTTGACGGTATCAAACAAGTTATCAAGGGCAATGCAAGAACGCTAAGATTCCGTTTCGCCTTTGCGCCGTGCACTCCGAGTTTGCCACAGCGCGCCACATCAATTCAAATTGGGCAGGGGTGAAACCTGTGCAAACTGAATCGCGCTGCATCACCCTGCAGTTTGTCGCAAGTCGTCGCAGGCCCATCTACTTGCTCGTATCCTCTCTCCAGCAACTGTGACTTAGGGACGCATCGATGCAATCCTATACTCAGACGTTGGGGATGTTGAATCTCTTTGGGTGCGGTTTTTCGTCTATCCGACTTGTTGGCTAAGGGCAACGGAAGGCCAGGAGAAACCGGGGGTACCTTTTGCCTGGCACCTTGGGCGGCGCTCGGGTCTCTGGGGGCCGTGGTTTTGGCTCAGTAAAAAAGCACGGGGAGCAGCGCGCAAAATTGTAAGAACCACAGTTTTGTGAGAAACAAGTCACGAGACTCGCCATTTGCACCTAGCTGTGTCAGCGTTTGCTCGCCTTCCGTGCACAAAGATTCGAGGTGCAAAGCTGCATTACAGCACCCAAAATGGAAAAAAATGAAGCAGAGTTTTGATACTCGAAATGGCAAAGTGCGAAGCTGTAGCTTTCTTTACCCAAAGACAACAAAGGAAATTCAAGCATCGGAAATGCCTGACACAACTTGCCAAGCGTGCAGCACAAATATTGTTGGGCCAGCGATGCAACAGCCCCCCGCCCACCCCACAGCCCATGTCTCCGTGACAGGCAAGGGCTATGGTAGTGATGTTCTTACAAGCAAGTATCTGCCAAAAACACAGGGGCCATAGGCACGGGTACCATACAACGCGACGGCGCCACCAGGAGTCGATCTTGGACTGGGGCAAAGAAACCGCCTGACGCTCAGCAGGTTTTGACCCACGGAAATTTATTGTACGAATATGTGTCATTTCAACCCATGGGCTTGCTGGAGACCGAAAGGATGGTTCGCGCCATCCCTTTTTACTAGCGGTTAAGGGAGCCAGAGCCATGACGCACAAAAGGAGTTTGAAGTTTGAACCACATAGTGGTCAAGTAACCAGCTTGCGCCGAGAAACCATCATGTGCGTAGCAAGGAACCCATTAGAACCCGTTCAACGGAAAAGGTTTCGCCCGGGATTTCTGACGAGGGAACTTTTGTGCGTGTCTTTTTTCGGGGCCCGGTACCCATTTCACACTGGCTTAAAGGCAAACCTAAGGAAACGTATCCATTTCGAGGGTACCTTTGGGACATATGAAACAAACATCCACGAAGGCTCCTCGAATTTCTGACCTTCGCCTCACTCCACTCAACATGAACGGCATGCAAATCCATCAACTGCGGCTCGCAAATGATTGTGTTACAAAAATGCGGAATTCCCAAATGTGGGTGGATTCCACTTGGTTCACTTTTTTACCATCCAGAATGCGGTCCACCAGTGTGAGAGACACCAAATGGTGAGATGTCTGGGTTACGGGAAAAACGAGCCATTCTTACTTTTCCGGAAACTAGGGTAATCAGAGGGGTTGCTAGATTTCCCAAGTTGCAGATTGCAGATTAGTCGTGTCAGGTGCGACCAAAGCTTTTGGTTTGCAACAAACATATGCAAACATTGTCTTGTCTCAGGCTTTAGTGAGTCACAACAAATGATTGTCTGTAAAGTCCAGGATCCTTCGAGTGGGCCATGGCAACGTGTTAATTGCCAAAACTGGCCCCACTTCACCAAGTGCTCAGTGGGTTTCGTGTTGCCCCTTTCCCCCGTATTTTTTTGTGGTCATCGCTTCCAGCCGCGGACAATATGACCAATACTCCAAAATGGCAAACACCTGGCTTCCCTTGCAGGGCCCAAAATGGTTAGACTTCATAGGCAGATATACAAATGAACACGTGCAGCCAAGCGGAATGGGTTTGGTTCGGGGTGTGGATCAGGCCGGTCAGATCGTGCGCTTCTTCGGGTGCCTCGGCGCCCTGTGGATGGGAACCCAAACTACCCGAACCCCCGTTTTTTCGGGGAAGGCCTATTTCGGGGAAGTGCAAGCCGGAAAAGCAACATGAAACCCTACCATCTGGTGTATGGTTGTGGGAATTCGGGTTTTGGGCTCACTTTCCACAATGCCAAGGCATTTACAGTGGCAGGGTAGAAAGGACTGGAAATCCCACTTTGGCATAGTAGAGTTTTTTGCGACCGTGATGTTGTAGGTCCCATGTAAATCGCCCCGCTTGGAAAAATGGGTTTCCCGCCCCAAAACACCAGAGAAAGAAAAAGAAGAAGAAAAAAACTGAAACCACCAACAAGAATATGTGCTGTAGGTGTCCCTTCATGTCAGGAATGGGGTCAGCGCTTGGTTTTTTCCTACTGCTCTGGTCCGAGCATAACGTGTTCTATATGATTGGCTGAAATCTTCCAACATGGCATCAGTGTCATAAGAAGCCCCTTTGGAAAATGTCCCAAACGGGTGCCGGTTCATTTTGACACAACTGTGGAGGGCAATTCAGCAAGGTGCCTGTGTGAACTCTAAAGTCTTTGGAGCTTTTGTGGAGGTGTTAAATCTGGGAAGCATCCAAATTCTGAAAGCACACGCAGGGTACATGAGCTAACATCCTTGGCCCTACTCTTACCGCAAGACGCAGCGGTATTGAGATGCTGGGTCCCAGCAGGGCATTGTGAAAATCGAGTGTTCAAAGGCTATGAGAGTGAACCAGGGCCCCCGCTCAACCGGGTGACTCGATTGTGAGCCTTTGTTCGCCGTCAACTTTTTGCCCCTGGCCAACCTGCGATTCTCTTCAAACTGCCCAATGTTAGCCGAGCCGAGAGCCGAGACTTATGTACTTGATGGTTTGGGACGCGAAATAGTTAGTACCCTGGGGGACTTATGGCCCAAAGCACTAAGGCAAGGACAAGTTACCCAAAACATGGAGTTCGGCTTGCATTTGGGGCTCCCAACCAAACCAAAAAAGAGCACCCTCAGACATCAAATTTTGCGGGTTCATGGAGAATGCTCCGCGCTGTATTTTTAGCTGAGGTTGGGTGGCGCAAAGCTGGAGCATCAGAAGGAGCTCAAGGAGGAGGAGGCGGGAGTTGCCTTCTTCCAGTCCTGGGTTGGTTGCAATTTGGGCGTGTCTTTTTTTAGGCCCCCAAAACGGTGGTGTCCTTTTGGTTTCCCTTCTTTTGGTGTCCCTTTAGAACCATAAGAGTAGGGACCCTCGAACATTTGGTTTGAACAACCAGAACATAGACCTTTTGTCTTTCTAACAACTTCCCACTGACCTAAAAGCCCAGAAAGAGACAGCCGGTGTTTGAAAAGAAGGATGGTTGAAAATGGTTGGCCATAGAGTCTCAGTGAAACTCGACTGGCTTCGCTATCAATGCGGAAGATCCTGCCAGGCACCGGTGGCTTCCCTGATCAACTTGTGGTGTCCTACGGATTATGCAAGATGGGGCAACCTCTTGCTCAATGCGAGACCTAATAGGAGGCTCAAAGGGATGGGTCATATTTTTTTCCAGCCCCAAAGATGTGGCATTTGGCGTACGCAGGAATGCCTCTTGCCTAATGGTAACTACGGTCTGCCCCAATGACAAAATCGTCCCTGGAGATTTGGACAAACCTGTAGACATTTTTGGTTTTAGAGCTTAGAGGTATCTATGACATTTCCCGCTGAGAGTTTAACCTTTGGAAAAGGATCGACAAAGTCGGATTTTGCCATATCTCAGGCCAAGATCAAGATCGAGAAGAAGGCGATGCAAGATGTCTGAACGCCAGGATGTCATTTAGTGGGTGCAAAACATATGCATGGGCCATGGCAGCCACGCCTTCCCCAGTCTGTTCAGGGATCCTTCTCTTGAACCATTGCCCGTGCATTGGGAAATGGGATCGCAGATTGACGGGTTTGGAAGAGAAGGAATGAATGGGGGGGATGGGAAATCACCCCTTCACAATGATTGGCAGCCCGGGTTCCATCACAACTTCAATGTCAAGTTACCCGCCCCCCCCCCCCCCCACGAGCTTCAGGTATTGCACTTCAAGTTTGAACCACTGACCCCGTATGAATCAACCTTGGTATTCAAAGAGAGGGTTTCGATCAGAAGTGAATGAGTCTCTCTAAAATTTAAAATGGAACACCTCTCATTAATCAGTCAGAGGTTCGTTCATCAACCCTGGATCAAGATGAAGTGGGTTGTACAGGCTGCTTGAATCAACACGTTAAGACAATTCTTCCTTTGGCTTGCTGTAGCCTGATTTGCGGGAACAAGCTCAACATGGAGATGAATTTAAGGATGACAACACAATTAATTGATTTGGCTCAATTCGACATACAGTGTATGGTCGCAGGTTCCGGAAGTTCCGAAGCACCCAAATGGCACAATATGCGTCCCGCGGCAGCTTGTGGTCTCAGCGCTTCCGTCCCTAGGGCAATCTTCCGCAACGCCATTTGCACGCCACCAAAGCCAACTTCAGTTGCCCAGTGGCCCTAGGATTCGAAAGGACCCCCCTTTGTTCTTATTGGTTGCCGTTCCTCAAAGGTTGGAACGACAAAAGAGGGACTTCAAGAATCACCAAAAAATGATTCTCCTAGGCCAAGAAAGAAGCACCAAATATGGACGCTGCTCAATCGCTGGCTGGAAATTCTCGGTTCCGAAATCCAGTGACCCCTCGCAAGGACCCTTTGCTGGACTCGGAGATCGATCTCCATCCATTTTGGAGGGTGTCCGCTCAGCACACACAAAATTGCCCCAGCCAAATGGATGTCCAACTTTTCGTCGATGTCATGCAGCTCTCAGAGAAGATAAGAACCCTTTTTGGGGGCCTACGCTTATGGTCGGCGCGGGAAAGGAGAAGCCATGGAGCCGATCTTGACAAAGTGCGATGTCCCCGATTTGTCAAAAAAACAGATTCCTCTCTGAGACCCAACCTTCAGCATGCGCTGCTCTAAGGTTTTCTTAAGACGAATACGGTTCGTTTTTAAGGTATGGCCAGGTGTTCTGAGATTCCTCTAGGTAGGGCGTCACTTCGTCCGCATGCCGCAAGTTCCAAAGCGCAGGAACGCATGCCCTGGACATCACAACACCAACCATACATACGGAAAGCCACAAAACCAAGGTGGGTTGCAGTAAAGTAGAGCACCTCCCTTGCTTGCGAGATTTAGGGCATCCATACGATCATGATTATCGCTGGGTCAACATCTGCGACCATGTGCTTATAGCTTTGCATTTGATCAACATTGACTGATTCGACCCTCTAGGTTGACCAAATGGTAGCCTCAGAAAAACGAGACTCAGGAGCAAGCCCAAGTTATACTGTTGGACAAATTCCTGCACAGGTTGAGATAGAACCCTAGAAGTACAGAGAGAAAACACAAATCCCAATCAGCACCCCCCAACAGCTGATGTTTCCCGTGTCCAAAATCCCCTTGGGTTCGGTGACCAAAACGCAGTGATTGGGTGACCCCGAATCGCTCCAATTTGCCAGGCCCCGCGGAAGCGAGAGGCTTCAGAGCCCCTGAAGCCCCGCAGGACCTCAATGGCGGTAGGCGCAAGCCGTTCGCTTCGCTTCGGTTTGTTTCGCTGAAAGCTGTACAGGTTCGTACTTCGGGACAGGCTCCGCGAGTTCGGGTCGGGTGTGGGTGTAAGGATGGTGTAAGGATGGTGTTTGGTGTCAAAGTGCCGTGGCAGTTGCTGGCAGTGCTTGGTCAGAGTGCTGTTTTGGATGCTGGTCAGGAACTGAATGGGAAAAGTGACCCTACGAGGGTTACCAACCGTTGACCGACTGTCCCGGACCAAAGTGGGGGAACTCGCAGGCGCTCTGGAGGCTCCAAAGCGCTCCGGCTCCGCCTCACGTCGGGCCACGGTGGCGTCCCCCAAAAACTGGGTGCCACCGGAGGACGGACCTTCGGAGCCAAGGGTCTGGAAGAGCCCAAGTCGGGTGGTTTTCCCTTGGGCTTCCCTTTAAACCAGCCCCAAAATTGGTACCCTCAAAAAAACCAGACACCCAAATGGTGCCATGTTCCTTGACGTGGTTCCCTTGTACCTACTAGAGTGGTATGATTTTCATGGGCCTTGATGGACACAATTTCGGGAGATTCATGTGCACCAGCCACTTCTGAGGTGGATTGGATACAGTTCCTCTGAGTTTCGTTGGGTTCCCAATGTTTCCCTTCAGGGGGGGTATTTGGCACCCCCGAATCCGGAAAATGTGCCTCTTCAAAGCTGGCATTAAACACAACATACCCTGTCCACACGGAACCTCATGGTTCGGAGTCCTGCTTTGGACGATGTTCCTTTAAAAGGGACCCTCTGGTCAGAAGGTTCCATGTTGGACCACTTGCATCTTCAACCTGCTGCGGGTGGCTTTAAGGCCCCAGTTCTGGTAGCCGTGGTTCAATTTCCCTAAGCTGGCGAGTTTGATTCCTCATCCAACGATATGTGTGAGTCTCCTTCTGGATGGGAACCCCTGCGTGTTTCGGTCCAAAAAGGCCAAAAGGGATGCCATTTCTGGAAATGAGCGGTGTTGGAGGTTCCAATGTTACTCTGCGGGTAGGTACTTGGATATTCAATCTATGGAATTAGGGTATAACCAAGCTTATAAGTGGGACAGCAAGTGTTGGTTGACTGACAATGGCAACGACCCACTTCCTGGATAGATTGAACATCCAATTTGGCTGTACCAACCTGGGCTGGATCCATTTGTTTTTGTTTCTTAGATTCCATCCAAGTCGGATTTTCTTTGCGCACGGTTTGCAGAATTACGCGCTATTCCCGGACTTGAAGCTAAGCCCATTTTGGACGAGAAATGCCCTACTTCTTATGTGCTTGGCACGCAAGGTGGGCGTCAGAAATCCCTAGCAAAGGAGGGCAATATGAAGTTGTCTACGCAGAAGGCAGGATACTTGGTCAGTGGTTAGGAATGCGAGCTTCGGATGAATCCGGACGACCTTGCTAGTCGGGAACCCCCCAAAAGGAGATAATGTCCTTACTAAACGAGGAACCACCTTTGAGTAGCACGGTACTCCAGATGAATCCGAAGGTAACATGAACCTCGGGTATAGCCAACTTACACCCGCTTTTGCATGTTCCCGTTCTGTGGGTAATTTGCCCAAGGTTGCTAGCCACTTACCAAGTGCACGATCGCCTCCTGAAGTAGACGCGGTAAACACTAGTCATCCCCTTTTTCGGCAGCTCTTTTGTATTTGTTCGAGCTGTTGACTCATCGACTCATGTTTGCCTTATGTTTTATTCACTTTCGAGGAACCCGCAACCAATGGGGGACCCATTAAACCGATTGAACAACTTTTAGGGCTCACCCGATCCCGATCGCGAAAACCCATGTCCTGGGGATGACTTATGTCCAATGTGTGCATCGTCTTCAGATCCTTTTCCTGCAACTGACCATGTTGGCGTCCAGTCGCCCGGAAGTTGGTTCCTTTGCCCGCTCCCTGATTCTTATGGGAAGGCAATTGGCTCCAACGAGCAAGGGGTGACTGCAAGGAAAGTCGACATGTCTCGAAGTGAGCGAAGCTGCATGGTTTGAGTACTCCAAACAAAGGTGCACTGGCGCTGTTCGTGCGTGGGCTTGTTTCGAAGAGGAGATGCTGGCCGAGAAGTTCGGCAAGTCAGATGACATCAGGGTGGACGAGGGCCGCCTTGAGGCGAATCCGTGTAAAGGTCTGAGGGCGTCCAACCATTCTGAACGGTTGATCCAAATCTGTCCAAAAGTCCCGGAAAGCTGATGTTTTGGATTGAAAAGAAAGAGGAGGCAACTGAGGGCAAAGGGAATGAATTCCAGGAGAAGGAGTTCGCATGTCAGACAAGCTGTCCGCCTTCGGGAGGTTTGGACTCGTGACAGCTGCAGGCGCCGATCCGCCGCGTGAGCAAGACGGGCATCGAGTTTATTTGCCCTGAGCCAGCCAGCCCCAGCTCCCCCTCCTCGCCAGACGAGCGGGAGACGGCTCGGGACCCAGACATGACTCATGGAGAATCATGAGAAAGTCCACCGAGCCACACAAAACGAAAGGGAAGATGGGTAGGGAGGGGGTCGGCGAGTTTTCATGTCGGTTTTCCTCTAAACCAACCCCAAAAAGATTTTTTTTCCACAGAAAACCAGACCCGTGGCGAAGGGTTGCCTGTGGGATGGTTCTCCGAGGTCTACATTGAGGTGAGCGCACTCTTCGACAACAAGCTCGGGGTACGTCTCCGCATGGAGGGCCTCGTGGTGAGCAACTTCGATGTCCCTGAGGCGATGGGCCCGAGCGGTTGGCGTTCTTTGGGTTTCAAAGGGGTTCGCTGGTTTGAGACATCTCATGGGTTGCAAGCAATGAATACACGGAAGGAACTTTTTGGAATGGTGTCTCATGATGTCAAGCTTCTTGAAGGCAACACGTTTATTGCGACAGGGGTAGGCAGATCAAATCGACACGTGTGTAGGGATTGCCACAAAATATTTGATCGTTCATGCGCGCGCCACCTCTTCAAAGAAAAGTGAAGAGGCCTAAACGTGAATGACACTTCTACCAGACCTCCTTTCTTGAGGGGTCGCAATATGCTTGGATGACCATCCGTCGGTCAAAACACAACACTACTTGCGCTTGGGCACCACAGCGTACATTAGTAGGTTTGAATTGGGACATGCGGTCTGGGCAAGTTACAATGAGCTCACCTCAGGGTGATGCAAAATGAGCTCACCCGTGAGAAAGGCCCTCATGTCCGGTTGTGAGTTGCAGTTGGGTGAAAGTACACAGCCCAATTCCATGTTCGTTTTGCCTTCCCCTGAACCTGCTACCGGGAGTTGTGCCATCCTCTGTCACCCTGGTGTAGAGTTTGCCCAGTGTGAACTTTGCCCCAACATCGCCGAGAGCCGCGAGTGCTTCTTGCCAAAGCCGGTGCTCTGAGATTCCGAACATTGCATTTTTACCAAGAGTTGGGCCAAGATCTCCTTTTCAATCGGAGCCTTTCCTATTCCCTGTTTGGATAGAATCGCTGAGGTCTCAGTAGGAGGATTCTTTCCTCCGCCTGTTGCGGTTGTGTTGTGACGCCGTGCTTTCAATATGAATGAAGGCGTGCAGACCATGCTGAATTCACCGAATTCACCTGACTTGTTGATTTGCCGGATTTCTGACCTGGATTGCATTACAATGGAGGGAGAGCACGTTCAAGCTGCCCAAAAGACCAGTAATTTCCCTTGAGTTTCCCTAAATGAGGTACTCCACAACAGGGCGCACACACCCTCTCTCCGCGGAGTGAAAAGGAGGCCGTAGTTCAATCCTATTATATTCATGAGTAAATTGTGGAACAAAGCATGGCGGATCATCTGCTTTTTGCGCCTTTTTTGGAGGCCGCAGAAGTCGGCTGGAAGTTTGGGGACGAAATCGTCGAGGTCAACCATCGGCCCGTGTGCTCTCGAGAGGACGGCTCGGAGCCTGATTTGATATACGGCCAGCCTATGAGTTTGAGTGAATGGGGAACGTCAAAAATAGTTTCTGGACATACCCTCCCATCCAACAACATGGAACCTGACTGAGGAGGCCTGGAAGACTGTGTTCCCTTTTAAAGGGTCCCGAAAGGCATGGGATGAGAGAGGGAGCGGGCAGGGAAAAGACAAGAAAGGGAAAGTTAAAATGGTTAAAGGGAATGAATGTGACCGAAGGAACTGGACACTGGGTGGGAAAGACAAATAAAAGCATTCTAAAGTTGTATCTTAGCTTTTATTATTTGTCTTCTTTATCTCTCTATCTTGGGTCTTATCCTTTGCAGCTGATAGAAAAGATTTCTAGAGTTTAGACAGCAAATAATCTATGACTTTCCCTTTCACTCATGTACCTTCATTCCTTAACCACTTCTGGATTTATTAGAGGTTACATGGTTGAAGAGGTCCTAAGGGGAACTGTGTTAGACGGAATAACCCGGAGACCCAACATGAAGAACCTATTAATAAGAGCTTGTCTATCTCCTGTGGACTCTCCAATGTGATTCCATAATAGAACATCAATATGTTGGAAAAGTTAAAGAAGATGAAATATGAAGAAGTTACATGAGTCATTACAACAATTAAAAGAAGCCAAATGAAGGCATAGTTATTGTTGGGCAAGAACTCATAAAGACAGCTAAGAAGAGAATAACCACCTACCCGTCTAAACCTCAGGATCCTTCACCTTCGGTCTGTTCCATGTTAGTGGACCGGGGTAAATCCCTCACATGAAGTCCACCAAAGAGCCCCCCAAAGAATCATAGCCAGTTTTCGTGCAATTGCTGATCCAAGCGTGCTAACTTCTAGGACACCAGTATTCTGACGGATTTGGGGCGATAGGAACCCAGGATTAGTAATCTATGGAAAACAACTGGTTGTTTTTGGTTGTCCCATTTCTTCAAAGTTGCACCCCTCATTATTCCAGCAGGTTGAAATCCGGGGGGGGGGGTGGAAGGGCTGGGGAAGTAGTGTAACCGTTGTTTTTGAGGGGCTTAACACAGAGAAAGCATTTGCAAAGCATTCCCTGGCGTCACTCAAACCTCTGAGACTAGGGTGAATTTGAAGATGGCACCAATGTTCTACCCTTGTGCCGATCAGTTCTTTGGAGTACTCCTGTAAATGGGGCACAAGCTGGTTCCCTAAAGAAAGAATTGGGTGTACCCTGAAAGGTCACGGAGACCTGGCACACGGCAAGATTCAATGATCCATTCCCCATGCTGCCCTGACTTCTCACCTTTCCCTCACCAGCCAGTCGAGAGCACGTGCTGCACCGTGTTTTGGGGAGGATCCTTGACGAAGAGTTCGGATCGCAGGACTTCCGGCGGGAGCTGGCGGAGGCCAGGAAGCTGCTGCCCATCGTCTTCACCGTGCCACTGGGCCAGCGATGTTTTGGCGCGAGTCGAACACGGCCGGGTTCATGCATGTTTCGGAGAGGCCTTTCCGCGTCTGGATGTTGATGCCTGTCGCCTTTTGGATCCAACTACTTGGATTTTAATCCCGAGGTTATAGCCATGGTTATTAAGTGGCTTACCCAAGTTTGTCCAGAAGCAACTTGATTTAGCGGGTGGCTGGAAAGCTGGCTGACAGTGGCTCCCATTCCCCTCCACAGCAACCGAGTCAGCCATGAAGCCTTTAGTTAAGGGAGTCCTATCCTAGAACATTGGAAACATCATGGGCATGACTTAGACTGCCGTCTTTGGGGATTGGCGATGGTCAGTTGACTCTCTTTGAGGGGGTCATGGACATGGCTCCCTTTGCTCTCCAATTGGCCCTGTCACGTTTTAAGACTACCTTGCTGTCAAAATGTGTATGGGTGTTCAGGGTACCCTGTTTTGGTTGTTGGGGAAACAAAAGGAAAACCGCAATTTCGTGGGATTCCACAAAAAGGCACGCCCATATGTAAAAGGGAAGGATTCCTCTTACAGGACAGCCCCATCCCCCCTTATCAGGGACCTGCCTAAATGGCTTTGGTTTTCCTTGTAGTTTGCCTTCCAACCCAAAGGGGCTCCAACCGAAAAACAGCCCGCGGCTCGTGAAAATGCATTGACCTTCTTAGCGGTCATGCAGAAGCTTGGACAGTTTCCAGCATTGGGCAGTTTGTTCATCCCTCATGGCCTGGAACATGTTTTGTAGCGGGGGGACATGTTGGACCCTGGTCCTGACCCAGGCCCATTAAAGGCATTCCGCCCCAAGGTGGGTGGGTATGCCTTTCTTTTGGGGGACCCCCAAAAAGGGTACTCTCAAAGAAAGTTGTGTTCAAGAGCCAAGGAAGCGTCAGCTTCAGACAGAGACCAGGGGCAGGAGAACAATCGCCGGAGTTGGCGCCAAAGAAGTCAAGGAGGCTCGCTCGAACGCGTCGACCGGCATGGACGCTGGCTAGCGGGAGTGTGACAGGGATTCTTGCAATTGTCTGGTTCCGTTTGGTTTCCTTCAACATTACCTGGAATTGTGACACATACGCCCTTTCTTGCGGCGCCCAAATGCCAAGCCCCTGTTGCCAGCCAGGTTGTGAGTTCTCCTAAACAAAACAAATGCCACGTTGACCTCTCGCTCAACGGGCGTAGGAAATGGACCGCAGCAATTTAGATAGAACCAGATGGCGACCTACCGGGAAGGGCTCCTAATGTGTGGCATTTTCTTCACAATTCAGACAGCGAGTCCATGACCTTGGAAACAAAACACGAGATGACTCGACAACCTCACACTGCACACGCCAAACGACCCATGACACGCAACAACACGCCACACCGCACCACCAGGTTGTTGCCATGAAGGACTAGAAGCAAGAAAAATTCAACTTGGTTCTTGTGCATCTTTCGCCAGATGGCGGTTATCATGGCAGTTGGCGGGGAGGAGGTGATGACCAGAGAGGAGTTTGTCCAGTTTAAGAATCAGTCCCAGCGAGCCAACTTCCATGATGAGCTGAGGCGAGAGTTCGCTCAGCGCCGGGGCCTTCGGAATTTCAGGCAGCTCAAAGTGCTCAACGGAGAGGGCGTTTTGGGAGCCGAGCATGCTTGGGATGCCGATGGGCCCTTTTCTGTCATCGTGCGGCCATACATGGAAGACGGGGCGAATGATTTTTGCAAGGCAGCGGCCGATGGTCGTCTGGATGACGTGGTGGGCTTTTTGGAAATGCCTCTCGATCCGTCATGCGCTGACGAGTGCACGACGCCTTTGCAATCTGCTGCCGAGAATGGCTGTGAAGAGGTCGTGCGCTGCTTGCTGGAGGCTGGCGCTGACAAGGACAGCACCGATCAGCATGGGTTTACCCCCTTGCATGGCGCAGCCGAAGCTGGCTATTTGGAAGTTGTACAATGCTTGCTGGAAGTTGGCGTCGACAAAAGCAAGTTCGATACTACCTGGTCTACAGCCCTTCACGTCGCTGTCGAGAATGGTCATCAGGAAGTTGCCCGGTGCGTATTGGAAGCCGGTGCTGACGCAAACCAGACCAACAGATTTGGGCAGACGCCTTTACATGTTGCTGCCTTAAGTGGAAATGAGGAGATTGTAAGTTGCTTGTTGGAAGCTGGTGCAGAAAAGGACAAGGCGGACAATCGCCAGTGTACCCCTTTGCATATTTCAGCAGCAGGGGGACATGTGGAAGTGGTTCGTTGCTTGCTGCAGGCTGGTGCTGACAGGGATAAACAGGCTCAAAATTACAACAAACTCACAGCCTTGCATCTCGCCGCCCATTACGGGCATGAGGCAGTCGTGCATTGCTTGCTTGAAGCCGGAGTTGATGCAGAGAAGACGGACACTCAAGGGCGGACACCTTTGCATTTTGCATCGGAGAGTGGAAATCAGGGGATTGTACATTGCTTGTTGGAAGCTGGCGCCAACAAGGATGCAGCCAACTGTCTTGGGTGTACCACTCTGCATTTCGCGGCGGAAGGCGGGTATCTGGAGGTCACACGCCTCTTGCTGAACGCTGGTGCCGACAAAAACCAGGTGGACAGCTTGAATCGCACGCCCCTGCTGGTTGCTGTGGCAAATGGCCATAAGGCCGTTGTGCAGTGCTTATCCGGTGCCCGCTAGCACTTGCAGGCATCCTTGGGGACTGGTCTTTTGCCAGAAAACACCCTCCCAAAAATGCTAGGTGGGAAGTCGAACGTATGTACATCGTCATTCAGCGAGCAAAGCATCCCAGCAAAAAGGGGACGAACTCTAAATTTCCGAACATCACGCGTCCACCATTGATTCTGGCATATATGGCACCACACACTCACGCACGTCCAACACAGACGGACAGACAGACAGACAGAAAGACACGCACAAACCGACAAATAGATAAACAAGCAAACGCATGCTTGATCATGCAGACACACACACAGACAGAGACAAGCGCGCACACACACAGCAGGTTTTTTTTGCAGGATTCAATCCAAGTGTGAAGGAAGGGCCTTGTTGCTTTGGGGCTGGTCTCGGCAAACCGAACAAGCTAGTGCGGTTGGTGAGGCTGGCTCAACAGTTCCAGTAGTTTCGGATTCAGGATTCATTAGTCTTTTACCTTTTGGCGGTTTAGAGCAAAGCAGGAAAGCAACATGGGCCTCTCACTAGGACGAGTTGTGTCCTTGGCATGCCCTAAGATGGTTGGTTTCTCTTTGGCGTCCCTTTCCGCCACTATGCAGTTTTGCTAAGCTCGACTCGTTGCTCCTTTTGACCCATCAGGTTGCCATTGTCTGCCTATTTTCGCAAGCCCACCAGGCCTGAGGGTGAGACTAGTTGACGTGGGATGTTGGGGAAAAATTCCAAAGTGGATCCCTCGAAAATTGGGACACCTGTTTGTCAGGAAATTACTCCTCGGTTCCCAGTCGTCACCGATGGTCCACATGTTTTTTTTGCCACTTGCCATGTTTGCTCAGGCGAAGGACAAAGACAGGCGCCTTTGCGGGCAGAGTTGGCACTTTCGAGGCTGTCTCAAGATGTTGAACCTGATAGGTTTCTCAATTCTTGAACCGGCCAAAAAGGTGCTCTTGGAAATTGTGGATTTCTCAAGGTGGTTCTTCCTTCCCTTTCACATTTCCTCATCTTAGACTTTCGACCAAGGTGAGCAATCGGTGATTGAATACAATCGCGGGCGAATCCAGAACAAACAACACTGGGCCCTCAAGCCAAACCTGCTTCCAGCCTGGGGCTTTCCCAAAAAATCATTCGGCCCCGAGAATGTGAATTCAAGATACACGTGTGTCCTTTTTTTCAAGATACCCCTTTTTTGGTGAGTTGAAAGGGAAAACCGGAAAACCAAAGCCATTTTGGGGTCCCCAAACACGCCCATGTGTGAGTTCAAAAAAATCGGGGCCACCAACCATTTTAGGGACCATCTTTAAAAACCCCGGTTAGAGGGAACTTAGTGGAAAATATCCTTGGTGTGGCCGAGATAATGGATCCGTAAAATCTGCGAATCGGCCACTTGTTCACAAGAACTTGAGGGCTCCCTTGTGCATGCTCCTAGACGCACGCGGCGATTGAAGCAGCTGACTGAGGCGCAAGAAGCGACAGAGTCACAGCGTGCCCGCACATCGCCCAATTGACACTGAGTGAGCAAAGGATGTCTGGTGTTAGCCACGGGGAGACCATAAATGATAGATTCGCCCCATTAAATGAAGGCCTAAACAATGAGTTGGATTGTTCGCACATAAAACCATGTTTAGTCGCGAGAACAGGAGTAAATATATGAGTAATTAAATTGCCCATTGCTTAGAATCTATTGCTGGATTGGTAGAGTGTGCAAGTTTGGCAGGTGATTTGGATTTGGATTTGCCTTGCAGACAACAGACTCCCACCCGTTGCGGTCATTCGTTGAAGAGTGAGCCCGTCTCAAAAGATACCTTTTTGCCGGGTTTCTCAAAAAAGGAACCAGCCGTTCGAAAGACTGCCCTGGGCCAGAAAGGCGGTCCAAGCAATTTGAAAGGGGCTCATATATCCTGGGCAAGACAGACCTCACGCATGCATTGAATTTTGCGCTTGCGTGGGGGTTATGACAATTCAGATTGATTTGTTTCACCCCATAGTAAAAAAGACAGCTTGAATATATTGGATATTGACTATCAACGATCTTCAAAAAGATAGTTATACCCATATTTAAACTCATATATGCATTTTTATGTATACTCGTCTTTGCCCTAAGGTGTATTTTGATTTTGATTTATACACACGCTTTTATTATATCTCTTATTTATTATTTTATAATTTTAGTTTTGTATGTTTATTTATATATATATATATTTATTTATTACTCATATTGAAAATGATATTGATAGTTAACAATAAATATTGTGTATTTATTAGTTTTATGATTTTATGAATTATTATGTTTGTTTGGATTGGATTTGTTTTAATATTTTGAAAATATGGATTGGATTGTGTTAAAGTACGATAATTCAATTTAAAATATATAGATGTTAGTGTTTAAAGTTATTATAATGAAAATGATTTGATGTATTTATAGAATATGATGTTGAAGATTTAAAAAAAATATAATAGAGAAATTTGAAATAAATTTATATGGATATGGTGATTAAGTTTGTATATATATATATATTATAATAATATCATAAAATGATATTATATATGGAATTGAATTAATTATATTGTGTTTAATAAATTATATATTTGGGTTGAAAATATTCGATTAAATTAAAATAGTAGAAAAATATGATTGTAATATGATTTAAAAAAAAAGAAGCTTAAAATAAAATAAAATGAGAATATATTTTATAATGATTTATATGATTTATGGAATTTTGTATTTATTTAATAGTATATTTATAAAGAATATTATTTGTATTTTTAAATAATTGATGGGTGATTGATTTAATTGGTTGAAATGGGTGGGAAAAAAAAGAGTGAGGGAGGGCGGAAGGAGGTGGAGGTTGGGAAAAAAGAGTTTTATTTTATATGAATGAAATATATATTAAATTTAAATTTTGAATTGTTAAAAAATTAAAAAAAAAAAAAAAAAGGAAATTTAGAAGGAATTTCCGTATGTGAGAAAATATATGTGCGTATGTGGTGGAATAAGGAAGTAAAAAGTATGGGTTTGTGCATGAATTGATGTTTCCGGAGAACCGAAGTTAGCCTGTTCGCGGCGCTTGGTCGGACTACTTTCTCCGGGCGTATTGGCACGGTAATGTTAAGGTTTCGCTTGATTTGAATTGCATGATAGGCGTAGCACTTTCGTAAGTTTAGGTTTAGATTTCGTGATAGGCATAGCAATTTCGTAAGGTTTAGTTTTTATAAGGTTTGAATTGTATGGTAGGCATAGCGCTTTCGAAAACGTAGTTATAGATTTCGTGGCGGACATAGCATTTTCGTAAGGTTAAGTGCAGATTTCGTGATAGGGACAGAATTTTCGTAAATGTAGATTTCGTGGTAGGGGCAGCATTTTCGTAAGGTTAAGTGTAGATTTCGTGGCAGGAGCGGCACTTTCGCAAGTTTAGATATAGATAGATAGATAAGTAGATTCCAAAAATCTAGATAATTAGAGAGATATAGAAAAAATGATAGATAGATAGAGAAATAGATAGGCAGATAGATAGATAAATAGATAGATAGATGGATATATCGATAGAGAGAGAGAGATAAATAGATAGATAGAGATATAGAAAAATAGATAGGTAGAGAAATAAATATATATATTTGTGTTTTCTCTGCGGCACACTCCCGCTTCTTCGTGCGGCCCGGAAAAACCCCGAAATTTTGCCGAAACAAATTTCGGGCAGTTTTTTGTTTGGAGTCCACGTGCAGAACCCGGCCAATTTTTCCCATTTTGGGTCGTTTTCGGCGACACGACTCTTAGGTTTCCGGACGTTACCCCCGCAAATTTCTTCAGAATTGGCGGCTTTCCCGATTTTTTTGTGCTGTTTTTATTATTTTTTTCTTTGTTTTATATTTTTTTATTTTTATTGATTTTTTGTTTTTTTATTTTGTTTCTTCTTTACTTCTTTTTGATTGATTATTTTTTTCTTTGTTTTTTTAAATATATTTTTTTTGTTTACATTGTGCGTTTGGATCGTTCTCGTTGTGGCGCCGAATTTTCTACGTTGTCGACAAACCCTTTGCGGGGATTATGTATGTCGGAGCGCCCTCGTTGCGGTGCCGTGTGAATTCTCGTTGTGGCGTCGTGCAAATTTGCACGCTGGCCGCCGCATCCTCTACGGGGATTGTGTGTGTCGGCTCTCGTTGACCCTGTGCGGGGATCCTGCGTGTCGGCCTTTACGGGATTGTTTTGCCCCTTTGTGGGCATGGGTGTTTTGTTTTGGCCCGTGCAATCCGTTGCGAAGATTGACGTGATCAATTTCTGCGGCATTTGCGTGATTCTCTATGCAGATTGGCGTGATCGAGATGCAAAAGTTCCAGGTGTTTTGCAAGATTTATTGATTTGATTGTTCTCCGGCTTGCGCAACCTTGCCCATAGCAATTTACGCAGAGCAATTTAGAGCAGTTTGCATAAAGACATTTTTACAGAGACGGTTGCACAGCAAATAACAAAAAAACAAAGTTTTTCTGCGCATAGAGCCACTTTGACAATATTATTGTGCCGTGCAAATTCCTCCCTGCAAGCACTGCTCTGTGTAAATAGCTTTGTGTAAGCTGTTCTACGCAAGCAAGAGGCTCTGGGCAAGTTGCCATGGAGCAACTCAGACCTTGCCACGCTAGCCTAGCTACATTCATATTCCATATTCATATCACATGTCGTAGCCATATGTTGGGGGGCCAGCGCCAGTATAAAACAATAATTTTAATATAATTGGTTCATACATTTCATTGATTTCAATCAAACAAAGAAATATATTTGCAAAACAATTTCAAATTGTTCTTAGACACGATATTACATGGGTATTTACAAAACGGCTAGCTTTCTTTTTCTTTAAATAATTACATTACCTTTTATGCATTCATCTTTCTAACACACATTTCTATATGATAATCTATGGAACTATATGTTGATATAATTATCTAATGAGCGAGAAGGAATGTAGCGCCTTATGGACGGAATTTGCAAGAAACGACTAGCCGGATTCTGGAAACAAGTGCATTCGACTTATTTGCCATTAATCTATCATCTACACGTTATTTCAGTATTGATTTCGACCAAATCGTCATGACATCCTCCTCATTATTTAATCATGTTTGTCTTATTACCATATCAAAAACCAATGAATCACCATATATCGCAATATCTCGGTTTTGGTGTAAGATTTTCTTTCCTTCTTTTTTTATGCGTTTTTTCTCTCTATTTCTATCTTTCTTTCTATCCTTTTTTGCTTTCCTTTTGTTATTAATTTTCTATGTTTTCTATCGGTTTTTCTTTTCTTATGTTTTCAAAATATTGTTTTCTTTACTTCTTTATCCAATTCTCTCGATATATATCTACTATCTATCTATCTATTTATTATCTATTTCAATTTAGATCCAAGCCTCTATCTAATTAATCTATTTCTTTATATTTATTTAAATATATATCTAATTACTCTATTTATGTTTTCGTTTTAAGCTAGTTGTTTATTTCTTAATTTAATTAACTTATATCATTTTTTCCCTTATTTATCCATCCGTCTATCCAATAAATTAACTAGCTCCTTGGATTTTCTTATATACATTTATTTGTCCCTTCTTACAAATTCCTTCTAATTTCATCTAATAAATATATTCAAATTGTATATGTAAATTTTAAAAGAAACGGAATAAACTAGCTTGGGCGCCAGGATAGTGTCGACTTCATGAAGGCGTGGTTGATGCTTGCGCGACCCTCTGCGGGATCGGCGTGTTTGAGGTGCAAAACACAAAGGATTTTGTTCTTGAGTGTGCACGCGCAACCCTGCGGGGATTGGCATGCCCAAAGAACAAAACTTTGTTCTTTGCAATTTTTAAAATGCTTGCGCACCCTCTGCGGGGATCAGCGTAATCAAGGTGCAAATACTTAAGGTTTGGTTACGATTTCTGCGGTTATTGCGTGGTTTGCCTGCACAGAACTTGCGCAGAGCAGCCTGCGCCACTGCAGGAGCATGCGTGCAGCAACAGAGTCACTAGCATGCGGAAAATCACAACTTTTAAGTAGCAACGTAGTATGTGGAGCACATTCCGGCGGGAAAATAAGCACAGGAAGAAATTACTGACGGGGATGCCCGAGGGGTTTCCGCCCAAAAAGAAACAAGCCGATGCCCCAACAGGATATGGGCGAAAACGGCCCCAGGGGAGAGAGAGAAACCCTTTCTTTCTTTTCTTTCAAAAGAGAGAAAAGAGAAAACAAAAAGAGAGAGAGAGAAAGAGAGAGCAAAACAAAGAGGAGAGACAAAGAGATAGAGAGAAAGAAATACAGAAAAAAGAGAGAGGGGAGGCAAGCAGAAGCAAGGGACCGGGGGAATTTTATTACTTTGGGTCGCTTATTTGGGCATGCCAACGGGGTTGAACAATAATTAAAAAGAAGATTGTCTTTACATTTCTATTTCGTTCCATACATTTTCTTCGATCAATTTTTCTGGGTAACGCAAAACACCAATGCAAAAATACAAGCTTTCCAACGCGGTCAGTCCTAGGATAGTCATGGTGCTTGCCAGACAGCTCAAATCTCATTCACAAGATGCCACATAAAAACAAGCCGTTTAATTGCGCCTCAAGCAACTGACAGAATGGAATCTTGTAGCACAAAAAGCTCCCCATATATTTGCAAGCGCAGGCCTGATGGCTCCATGAGTGGAAGAAAAGCAAGCACGCATCAGGCTGCGAGATCTCACCTTGCTGCGGAAGGCGGAGCCACGGCAAATTTTTTAGTTCCTCATAAATCACTTTCACTTGCAGCCTTTTACTTCGCTCTTTGCACTTGGCTCTGTGCACTTCAATCTGTGCACTCACTTGGCTCCTTGCACCTCGCTCTTTGCACTTCGATCTGAACATGGCTGGCTCTAGCGCTTGGCTCTTTCCAGTTGCTTTGCGGTAGTAACTCTATGCTGGTGATTCCGGAGCTGCGGGAGCACGCTCCACATACTACGTCTGTACTTAAAAGTTGCGATTTTCTGGCCGGGGCTGCGCTCTACGTGCTACGTATACACTTAAAAGCTGCGATTGTCAAGCTGCCGCGGACCAGGGGAAAAAATCAGAATACTGCAAACTCTCATCAGAACAACTCAAGTGAACCCAGCGGGAAAACCCTTTGCTATGCTTGCCGGAAATCCTAACAAGAACCATGTACGCATAGACACCTCACAAACACCTGATAGCCATGAATCAGCCAGCTGCCTGACTTTCCAATAGAATCCGAAGAAAGAATGGCAGACGCCACCTTGGCGATGTTTGTCAAGCGTCAGCCGGACTGGTTGCTTCCCAGTTTTGTGCGCATGGCACAAGTGAAAGACGCCACATTTGCCTCCTGACAATGCTTGTGCCAGTTGATGGATTTGTCATTCTTGGTGAAAAACATGCTGCAAAAGTCCGGCGCAGGTAGGGGTTGTAGCTCATGGTGTTGGTCGCTGCTGCCTCATAGACCGCCATAAACACCAGATAGCCGTGAACCACCAATGCAGACCTTGCTGCTGCTGTCGCGGAGCAGCTATGCCATGCCAATGGGCAAGGATCGATTTCTGGCAAAATTGCAGCTGTTTGTTTTGCTTTGGTTTGATGTTGTTGCCAGGAGCCAAGCAAATTTGCCAACGCCGGTGTCAACTTGGTTGTAGTGGGTGTGTGACGTTATTGTCTCTGCTTTCGCAATTCCGCAGTTGCGGGTTCAATTTTGACCTTGCAATGTGGGAATGTATTTCGTGCCATGGGTCTCTCGTTCTTTCTTTTTTTTTTTTTTTTTTTTTCTTTTTCTCTCTTTTCTCTCTTTTTCTCTTGTTTTTTTCTTTATATTTTTTTTCTTCATATTTTTTGTTTTTTATTATGTTTTTCATTTATTTTTGTTTGTGTTGTTTATGTGTGTAGTTTTTTCCTTTATTTCTGCTTGTTCTTTCTTCTTTTCTTTCATTTTTTAAAGATTTATTTTAATATATAAATATATATATCGGATTAATTAAAAAATTGAATTTTGAGTATTTTTATTATGATTGATGGATATTATATATATTTGAGATTTGTTTGTATAAATGTGTATACAGGTTAATGAATATAAAGTAAATTCTTATATTTACGTTTATAATTGTTATTATTATTTGTATTACTAGAACGGTGATGGTTTTCTGTTTTATATATGTTTTAAATATGTAGAAGATATGTTGTTCTTATTTGATAATTGTTATGATGCTGTGGATATATAGTGATGATGTTGATTATTGATAATGAGGAGGATTTATGGTGATGAATAATATTAGGAAAATATTTCAACTAATAATAAATATAATAATAATATTATTTATAAAAAAAAACTGTTGATTTATATATATATATAATCAATATTATATTTGTACATATATTTGTTTCTTCGTTGTGGTTGGTTATAGGTGTTATATTTAAATTTCTTTTGAAAAATCATCAACATATAAAAATTAATTGGATATATTAGAATACCAAAAATTGAGTTTGCAATTGTTATAGTAAATATTAATTTAGTTTTTGGAAAAATCTTTTTCTAAAAAATCTGAATATTAAAAAAAACGAAAGATTATAAATATCATTGTTGATTTGAATTGTGTTTTGTTTATTATTATATTTTGAAATTAATTGCAATACCTTGTAATTAGCCATCGAGGAACCAGCATTTGCGCAGACCATCTTGCAGAGAGCACTGGCACAGAGCACTTGCACACAGAGCACTTGCACAATACTTGCAGAGCACTTGCGTGCAGCAGCTTGCAGGGGCCGATTTGTGCAAATCACTTTGCGCCAAGAAGTGCACAGCCAACTTGCGTCTCTCTGTCTCTTTCTCTCTCTCTCTTTCTCTCTCTCTCTTTCTTGCTTTTTCTCTTGCAACAGCCACAGCAAGAACAATCCGATGCAGAGGTTTCGTTGTCCAGCGTGCAATTTCGCACGGCACGCAAACGAGAGCGAACCGACACGCAACCATGCCAATCCGTGCAAAGCCCCTTGCACGAACTACAATAATTGTGCACGAATTAACATAGGCGGCACAGGGTGGAAAGACAAAGGAAAAGGACAACTCAACCAAGGAAAAGGAAAAGCGACAACAGCAAGGTAGCGGCTTTGACGCGCAAAAACAAGCGCAGACAGACAAAATGTCCGACACAAGCATACATTACCAAAATACACAGACGCGGACACGCGGAAAGAGAAACACACACAAAAAACAAAAAAATGAAACCGAGACAACCCGAGAGACAGAGAGAAACAGACAAACAGACAGAAACAAAAAACACAAATCCAAAAAGAAACAGATTGGGATATGTAGAGATACACAAAGACAGACGTGGATTATGACATAGATAGATGCGGACACATAGGAGACATAAAGAGAAGCAACAAAAAGAGATTTGCGCATTGTGTTGCCCCCAACAAGCACTCCGATAAAGTCAATGTCTCTGACAACCACTTGATAGCATAGCAATCGTTCATACATGAGGCGGGCCGAAGACATCCTCATAAGCACCACATCTCCGATAACCACTTGGCCCAACAGACCATAAACACCAGATAGTTGTGAATTTGTTGCCGGGTCAACCTTTGGTAATTGATACAAAAAAAGCGAACAAGCACAAGCTCACGCGCTGCACATGTCCCTCTGTCTGTCAATTGCATGGGCACTTTGGTGAAGTAGAGATTGTCCAAGCCTCAAAGTATCGGGCCTGGCTTGTTTCTCAAAGCAGCATTGCACATGACTCTTCCGGAGCTCTTGATTAGCTTGGACAGAGTCACCAGCATGGGACTACTTGCGCCAGCACAGATTGGCTTACGCAGTTACCAGAGTCACCAGCATGGATATGCCAGCATGGAGATATAGATACTTGCACAGAATCACGAATATAGAGATAGTTACAATACCATATAAATACATACTGTTATCTCAGTTATCATAATTTCTATTTCTAAAATAAATCATTTATATAATATTATTTCCAATAAATAATAAAAACATATTTATCAAAATTCACTTAACAATCATTAATAGAATAAAAGGAATCAATCCTTTAAATGGAGCCTCCCCCTTCCAAAGGAAAACATCTCGTTTGGTGATTGTGAAACTAATCTATCTCCTATATATATTATCGAGCTTCAAAAAAATGGTTTTACTCCTAGATAAACATGTCATCCTCCGCATTAGTGGATCCGATGATGCATCGTCCTCTAACAATATACTAGTTTCAGAATTAGGTCCGCTACAGCGAAAATATCCGTTTTAAATATCCCCCAAAAAATGGCGGACCAACTTAGCGAACCCTTAGAGAATCGAATCCGTCCATCGTCATCATCCAAAGGTAACAATATTCTTGAATAAGAAAAAATTCTTACTCCCGTAATCTAATCGACACCGATATCATCCTACCGACTTACTACCACAAATCCAATATTCACAACAATAATATCTTCAACCCATAGCCGAGTACAAGTACCACGAATATAATCGAAAATCTACCATCAGACATTATCATGTAAATATTATATCATTTAGCAATACGAATAAATAAATCGATCGATTCAATATAAAACAGGGTTCAAAATCTCTCATTTCGAATCAATTTTGTTTCATAGCATATAAGAAAAGCCCTATAATTAATACCCTAAGAAACCAAAGGGTAAATCCCCAACAATATACAAATAATTAAATATCCTCAACCTAATACCCAAACTATAAACTTAATATATTATTCCTAATACAACTATATATATTTATCGTTATAAACAATTACATGTTGCTTAAGCCAAATGGCCATAGTAGATATAAACAATTAATATTCCTATTCTATTCACAAAACATAACATGCTACAAATCGTCTAAATAGCATATCTTTCGCTTTCCCCATTAGAATTGCGACCACGACACTCGTGTACACATACGAACGCTTAAGAACGTAAATTCCACGACTTCTGGTCACGTACTAACCCCCAAACTCCCGACCTCTAAACGGGAACCTTCCTACTATGCATTCGGGGAAAAATCAATAAAGAAAGAAGAGAAAAGAAGAGATACTGCACGAAAACAATCCATCTCCTGTAGGCACATTGTTAGTTTAACACTTCTGTTTTCCAGCGCTTTACTGGAGCATACCTGGTACCGATTGGATTTATTCCACAACAATACTTATGCAAATCTGTGCGTTTTCGCCAATAAAGTTTCTGCCATTTGTCTGTTGGCAAGCTTGATTATTTGATGATATAATACATGATGCCAAAATACATCACCGTCAGAAGCATGACGACAAGAGCGCCACCGCCGACAAATACCCACCAGCCCATGCGGCAATAGCCAAAGGTTGAAATGAAAACTCCGGTGAAGCCTGACGGATTGGATATCCGGCCCGTGGTTGCACAAACATAGTAGGGGGAGTTTGGGCAAAGACATGTCTCCTGCCATTTGCAGCCAGCACCATAGTCGTATCCGTCCTCAACAGCCATGTTCATTCCTGGCACACTGGTTGGGCAACGGGCACCATTCACTGCAGCATAGCCAGTGATGCCAGTCTTTGCCACCTTGAGCATCTGCTGGTGGACCATGCTGGCCTGGGCAATGGCACCATCAATATCATCTCCGGTTGCGTTGCTCGCATGGAGCTGACTCGATTCCTCAGCAGTGTGCTCTGTATGCTGGTGGATTGAATTCACCTCTTCCTGCAACAGGGTGGTGCTTGGGTCTCTCTCTCTCTCCCTCTCTCACTCTCTGTATCTCTCTGTATCTCTCTTCTCGTCCCTTTTGCTTGCCTCACACTTCTCAAAATCACAATGCAAACAACACCTGCTTGGCCAACTTATGTCGGGGTCTTTCGTGCACGCTGAGCCCGTCCTTGCCATCCGCCCTGAAAGCCAACGCTGAGGAAAGGCTGGCGAAGATCACAAGAGCCAACATAGGCGCCATGAGGAAGGAATTTGGCAAAAGACGAATCCTTTTGAGCCAAGGCGTCGGTGAAAGAATTTTATCAAGGTCGTTTGACATCAAGGGAACTGCGTGCTGTTGCTGGATTGCTTTCGATTCTGATGACGACGAGCTCAGCTCACTTTTTGGAATGTTCAACCATCCACAACTGGTTGATCATCTGAACAGCATCTTTGCCAGCCAAAAATGAACTGAAGCGTTGGTGGGATACATAAATATTTCCAACAAACAATGGATTCGTCGTGCGTGTTCACGCTTCACGATTCAAGCCTTTGTTCGCAATACACTCTGCAGCATGACTCAAACAGAGTGCGCAACGGCACACTGCACAGAAGTGTGCCACAAAGCAACTGCAACGCAGCTTCAAGTTCATTAGTGCAGTTCGGCACTGCTCTTGTCCGATACATGCTTGCAGCAAGTCCCCACATGTGCCTTGCAAGCCCCATTTGCAAGCCCCATGAACCTCTTTTCTCTCGTGCTCTGGTGAGTTGCAAGCTGCTCTATGACTTCGTGGCAAGGTACACCACACCTCCCACAAGCATGACGACCACCGCACCAGAGCTGAGGAAGACCCAGGCACCAACTCGGCAGTAGCCGAAGGTTGAAACAAAGACGCCAGTGAAGCCCGAAGGATTGGAAATTCGGCCAGTGGTGGCACAAGTGTAGAAGGGAGAGTATGGGCAAGTACAAGTGTCCTGCCACCTGCAGCCAGCACCGTAGTCGAATCCCTCCTCCATTGCCATCTCCATTCCAGGAACCTTCTCTGGGCAACGGCCACCGTTTAACGTGGAGTACCCAGTGATGGCGGTCTTTGCCACGTTAAGCATGCTGCGGTGGACCATGCTGGCCTGGGCAATGGCACCATCCATGCCGTCTCCCGTTGCGTTGCTGGTATGCAGCTGAATCGAAGCCTCAACCGCAGCAGTGTGCTCCGCATGCTGGTGGATTGATTTCACCTCTTCCTGTAACAGGGTGGTGCTTGGGTCGCTCTCTCTCGCTCTCACTCTCTATCTCTCTTCTCGTCCCTTTTGCTTGCCTTTACACTTCTCAAGATCACAATGCAAACAACACCTGCTTGGCCAACTTATGTCGGGGTCTTTCGTGCACGCTGAGCCCGTCCTTGCCATCCGCCCTGAAAGCCAGCGCTGAGGAAAGGCTGGCGAAGATCACAAGAGCCAACATAGGTGCCATGAGGAAGGAATTTGGCAAAAGACGAATGGCTGCGACGCAGCCAGTGCTCCTTTTGAGCCGAGGCGTCGGTGAATGAATTTTACCAAGGTCGTTTGACATCAAGGGAACTGCATGCTGTTGCTGGATTGCTTTCGATTCTGATGACGAGCTCAGCTCACTTTTGGAATGTTCAACCATCCACAACTGGTTGATCATCTGAACAGCATCTTTGCCAGCCAAAAATGAACTGAAGCGTTGGTGGGATACATAAATATTTCCAACCGTGCGTGTTCACGCTTCACGATTCAAGCCTTTGTTCGCAATACACTCTGCAGCATGACTCAAACAGAGTGGGCAACGGCACACTGCACAGAAGTGTGCCACAAAGCAACTGCAACGCAGCTTCAAGTTCATTAGTGCAGTTCGGCACTGCTCTTGTCCGATACATGCTTGCAGCAAGTCCCCACATGTGCCTTGCAAGCCCCATTTGCAAGCCCCATGAACCTCTTTTCTCTCGTGCTCTGGTGAGTTGCAAGCTGCTCTATGACTTCGTGGCAAGGTACACCACACCTCCCACAAGCATGACGACCACCGCACCAGAGCTGAGGAAGACCCAGGCACCAACTCGGCAGTAGCCGAAGGTTGAAACAAAGACGCCAGTGAAGCCCGAAGGATTGGAAATTCGGCCAGTGGTGGCACAAGTGTAGAAGGGAGAGTATGGGCAAGTACAAGTGTCCTGCCACCTGCAGCCAGCACCGTAGTCGAATCCCTCCTCCATTGCCATCTCCATTCCAGGAACCTTCTCTGGGCAACGGCCACCGTTTAACGTGGAGTACCCAGTGATGGCGGTCTTTGCCACGTTAAGCATGCTGCGGTGGACCATGCTGGCCTGGGCAATGGCACTATCCATGCCGTCTCCCGTTGCGTTGCTGGTATGGAGCTGAATCGAAGCCTCAACCGCAGCAGTGTGCTCCGCATGCTGGTGAATTGATTTCACCTCTTCCTGCAGGGTGCGTGGTCTCTCTGGGCTGTGCATGCATGACATGCACAAATTTCAGGCAACGGTGGCATTCAAGCGTGAGATGTCCCCCTGCTCACTTTACTAGGCGCCAAACACATTTTGCCTAGAATGCATGCGTGTCCGTCCTTGCCATCCGACCTGAACGCGAATGCGGAAGAAAGGCTGGCAAAGAGCACGAGAGCCAACGGCGCCATGAGGAAGGAATTGGGCAAATCAACAATTTGCTGTGAATCTGTCAGTGCACTACTCGAGCCAAACACAGAGGTGTGACTTGCAACGTTTGGATCTTACCTGTAAGATTGCTGCAGCAGCTGGACGCTGCCACACAAAATGCGGACAATTGCAGCAAAACAATCGTACACACACACACATTGCTAGATTTTCAATAGCCAGCAAGCGATTTCCTACTATACTCATCCCAGCACTTATCTTCATCTATTTCAACTTGGGTGATGCTAGCACATGTCTCTAATACTCCCCAAATGTCCTGGATCTTTGCTTTTGAGTGCGTCAGCCAACCATCTAAGCGCAGAATACATGTTGTGGCAAGACCGTGGCGACGCCAGTCATGCATCTCTGACTGTACATGAGCCGCAAATTCTGGGCAGTGCGCAAAAAAACCAACTGCATTGACTGGCTTTGCGAAGCCAGGCAAAGTCACTGCCTAATTACAAGGACTTGCTTCCAGCTCCTCTGGCCAAAGGTTGTTGCAAGTGCTTGCTGGTTGACGTTGTCACCTCCAGAAGCAAATCCCAGAGTCCAATAGGAACTGGTCTTTTTGGCAATTGCCTCCTGGCTTGTCGAGTTATGGGCGGAAGAGGCTGCCTTGCGTGATGGCGTCTGTCACAGGCTCAGTCCCAGTGGTGTAGCCGTATGACTCCTGTTGCGCGGGAGGCGGCTGCGACTACTGCGCCCTCTAAACCAGCGCTGTGACAGTAGAAGCAGCGGAAGGTAGAAACACTTGATACCACTTCATTGAGAAACAGGGCTGCTGGTCTGCGGCACTTGAGCCAAAGGACAGAACATCCCTGCACTTTGAGGGACGACAGCCGCACTGGCACCCTCCCGGTCCTTCTCCCCATCCTCACATCGCTCCATTTCCTCCAACTCATCATCTGCAAAGTGTCCTTGGAACCCGACAGAGCGACAGAGCGACCGAGTTTCATGCAGTTCAGACGGCACCCAAAATGAAACCCTGGTAAATAGAACCAATGACCAAAACCTGCGGTCCCCTGGTCGTTTAATTTTGACCCATACCCAAATGGCCCTCAAGTTCCGGCATGGCCAAAACAAAGACACTGAAATCATTGCCAAAGGGCGGCTCACCTCCCGCACGCCTGCTGCGCGCAAAGCGTTGCGCACCCGGAAGAGAGCCCGGCGCTTGGCCCGCACGAGGCTGTCTGCCTGCGGCCCGCATCTCTACATGCGAAGTAGACACAACTGCGGGAGAACCTCAGCGGATCACTTTTGTTGCTTGGGATTCTCTTCAGGCCACGCCTTTCCGAAACCATTCAAAGCTTGGGCCTGCTGCATGAGAAGCGGCCGGCTGCTGGCACGCTCCATGATCTTGCGCATGTCCTGGCCAACTTCAGCGGTCGAGACGCTGTTTGCCACACGGTTGCGACTGAAAATTACTGAGACCTCTTGTTAGTTTCTTTACTGAACTATTTGTGAGTCAGCAACAACACAGATTCAAGCCAGAAGGCTCGTATGAGCATTCCAGTCCAGCTTTGTCCACTTTGTCTTGCTGGTTCCGTTCCTTTACCATGAGCGAAGTCACCCCTGTGATAGAATCTTGGCACACAATAAATCCGTCAAAGTCCTTGGCTAAACCTCAGTTCTCAGCCCGTCCTGCTGTTTTTGACGCTCGGTGCGCTGGAGCCCTCGCTTCTTGTCCCAAACGATTCGTTCAATCTTCTGCTCCAATGGCTCCACAACGCCCACCGCCTGTGCCACAAGCGGTGCCAAAATCGCAGTCGGGGTCTTGCAATAGGACTGTCATGAATGCAACCACTCGATGCCAGTAACGCACCGATACCTGGTCTGCCAAAGCACACATCCCGCCTGCTTCACACGGGATTTCATCTCTGGATCCACATTTTGCGCCTTGCACAAGAGGCTGCAGTTAAACAACCCCCCAGACTGGAAAGCCCACCACCAGCCTTTTGTGTTTGGAAGCTTGCCTTAGACGGCCTGCCTGATCCTAGCTTCGCTTCAGCTGGCTGGCTCACGCTATTGACTCCAACTAACCCATACGCATGTAAATATATATATATATATATATATATATATATATATATATATATATATATATATATATATATATATACATACATACATACATACATACATACATACATATATACACATGCACACTATAACATGAGTATATCATGTTATAATATGCATTTGATATACACGCCTTCTGCTTTCGTATGTTGCCAAAACGGGCAAGGGGGAGTATGGGAAGTCTGAAAACAAGAAAGACCTACAGTCACATTCCCAAGGGTGCACGGCCCAAGCCCCTGAGCAATTGAAACATTGGATTCATTGTGCCTCCTGGCAGTAGTGGGCTCTGCTGTCAAGGGGGTGCTTCAGTGGCGGGTGCTGCAGGCTTGACCACCCCCTTAAACAGGGTCCGACCTCCGGCTGGGAGCTTTCCCCGGATACACAAAACAACGCCATTTTGTACAACTTAAACTGCAGGTTCCTCCCCCTTGCCCCCCTGGAGGGTCATGACCAGAAACAGCGAGGATTCATGATATGAACCTGACAAGGACACTAAGAAAAGTGAACCCTCCGCAAGCACACACACAAACACAAACATGAACACAAACACACAAACACACAAACACAGAAACACACACACAACCACAAACAGAAGAACAGAAACACAAACCCTAAACCACGCAAACACAAACACCAAAACACAAGAACACAAACACAAACACAATCACACACACACACAAAACAACACAGAAACACAGAAACACAGAAACACACAGAAACACACAAACATAGAAACACAGAAACACGGAAACACAGAAACACGGAAACACACAAACACGGAAACACACAAACACGGAAAGACACACACACACACGCAAAGACACACACGCAAAGACACACACGCAAAGACACACACGCAAAGACACACACGCAAAGACACACACGCAAAGACACACACGCAAAGACACACACGCAAAGACACACACGCAAAGACACACACGCAAAGACACACACACACACGCAAAGACACACACACACACGCAAAGACACACACACACACACGCAAAGACACACACACACGCAAAGACACACACACACACACACACGCAAAGACACACACACACGCAAAGACACACGCACGCAAAGACACACGCACGCAAAGACACACGCACGCAAAGAC